AAACGTCAAGCGTAGTATATCGCAGCGGTGAGTTCATTGGCAAAGTAATTGGAATAAATATGAAGTTACTGCACCATTGCTACGTTAATCCACCTCTTAATATTTATTTATCCACACTGTGATGTTCGAAACTATGATCGATAAAAAAAACAACATCTGAACAGAGAGTGGTCTAAGAGTCTGTAGAGAAAGTTTTTTTTTTTTTTTTTTTTTTTTATGTGAAAAGTTGCCAAACGAGCAGATGGTTCACCTGATGTTAAGTGAATACCACCGCCCATAGACATCTGCTACACCCGAGGGTTTGCAGATGCGTTGACAACCTTTTTGGAAATTGGGCTCCGGCTACCTCACTCACCAGACGAAACGCGAAAGTATTTGTCATACTTCCACTTTACGCCGGTCTTCTGTGAGGTCGTGGTACTTACCCGGACGAGCCTGCCCATTCGTGCAACAGCCGAGGCTGCTGCGTGGCTCTACCACCGTTTTATTCATTAATAAAATACTCAGTAAAAGTGTAGTCAGAGTGAATCATTTCCTCTACATCGAATTTTGCTAAGCTAACACCCGGTTTCTGAAACACTGATCATCGTAGGTGTCAACTAATCAGCTGTCAAATGGCTTTGCAAATTTAATTTTATTTGCCAGAAGGATGGTTGAACTATTTGAATTGACCATTCTGATCATTAAGAAGATCATTCTGGTCTCATTGATCATTCTGATCATTCTGATCAATCTATGTTAAACACATTAAAACAAAATAATTCCCGGATTTTGTTGCGTCCACATTATTGAGATTGGGCGTTCTGAACGAATACGACTGAGAACTCTGTCAAATAGGCCGCGAAATAAAGACCTTTTTTTTCTCAAATATTTTACGATGGTAATCAGTTTTTGTGCGCAGTTTTGAAGGCTGCGGTGTTCTATTATGTCCAAATTACGCGCCGTATCGGTCATTCGTTCCACCGGATGAAGGGAGCCTGGAACCGCCTTACTTGGAAAGCCATTGTGCCTGCCAAACATACAATGGAACTTATAGAACCCTAAGCACAATGGATTTCGGCGACTTTTGTTATGTCGAACTCGTTTCTGATATTAAGCGAATACCTCACATTCGAATGATATTAATATTAAGCTGATTGAGTTTGATATTGCACACATTGTGTTATTGGTACAGCATCTGTGACAGTGAAAAACTTGTGGCAAACTTTTTCCAATTCGACTTTTTCTAGATTGTTCAGACGTTTTTTGAACTCTACTGTTGTTGTAGAATTGTATTTAAGTTGTGTGTTATTATGTTTGTTGTCGCTTCATGCGGTAATTGCTTTACGTATTTTGAATTGAATTTCCAATTACTACAATTTCCAATAACACAACGAGCCAACTTAAATGTCATTGCATTAACCTACTAACCTAATACTTTTTATCGTTAAAACGCAACTATTTTATTTGGAAAAGAAAAACAACAAACAATAAAGGCTATCGGGTAAGTCTTCTCCTTAAAGAAACTCTTTATCTAATTTTTTAAACGAAATTCTCACTCTGAATAGGGAAGTACCTTCGTCGCTGGGAGCTTTGCAAACATGAAATTTCGGCCGCAAATTACATCCAGACTCGGAGACATTTATTGTGGGTCACGCATGTTTTTGTTCTGTTTGGTCATCGAACTCACAACGCGGTGCGAGGTAATTTGGTGAATTGAACATTAATCATGCCATTATATGATCCATGAGGCTGTACTACTGGGACGCTGTACCGACAGTCAAGCTCTTAAATTAAATAGAGATCATCCATTAAATCATATAAATATATTACGGGAGACATCAAAATTATATAATAGCTATAGGTTCGGTTTTTCTGAAACTCAAAATACTTGTTGCAGAAGATTTCCGTGTCGCGCCTGACCTGACCGTATATTCAAATAAGTCAAAAAAACTTAACGAACTGCTTCTAAGAAATCATCTCTGATCATTTCGTCAATATAGACGAGGTCGCTAACCCGAAATAACACGCTGAGATTAAACTCGCTTCAAAGAAAATTTTGCATTATGAAAAATTACGTTTTTGAAAATTTGGAGCTTGACAAGAATAAGATCTTTCGACGTTTATTGTCAACAGTGTAAATGTCAATTTATGAAAAACTTGTACAAAAAATTTGCATTTTATTCGCTTTCCATGCTCGTTGTTAGATAGACTTTGTTTTGACAACAATAACGGTCGAAATAAATATAATATGTAGGTATAGTAAGCACATTGAAAAATAAAATCAAAAAGTTTCAAAAAAGTTACCAAAGACATGTTATTACAACATGTTGCGAATCAAAAAGACATTATTTATAGTCACTTATTACTTAAATGTATAAATGACGCTTAAAAACTAACCGTCCGAAAAATGTTTTATAAAATGGACGCTAATGTAGTTTTTATTCTTTTATGTTTGGGCTGCCACTTACGTGAACGCGCGGAGTCTGATTGGCAAAATGAACACCAATCAAGTTGTATTGAAGAGTGGCATTTAAACGCTTTTGCTCCCCGACAACTTTACTTCTGTCGTTGTCAACTCGTTCCTTTTTTATTGGTAAAACCAGTATACGTTCCACCTGGTAGAAACCGTTTCTTGTCCACATACAGATAAAAATAAGTAAGATAAGCAACTCTGATAAAAATAAAATTCATGTCATCAAGATATACATACCATATAGGTATGTAAACAATAAAGTTAACAAATTAAAACCTATTTCAAGATATACACAAGTAAATATAATATATAATAATTACTAATTCAAATAACTTTTCGATGTAAGTTGCGTAGTATTATAGGTGATTTAATGTATATAATAACAATTTCTTAGATAATAGCGATAGTATTTTTTATACATAAAGCTAAAGTAATGTTAAATTACAATGGAAATGTCATAACGCATATTTAGTATTTACCTTAATAACTAGTGAATACTGACTCTTTAAAGAGTTAAGTGCGGCTACTTGCCAATAGATGGCGGTGCGCATTAGAGTTGTGAGCTTTTAAATTTACTTTTTTTTTAAATATGAAGTGTAACAGCAAAAATTATTATAATACGTGTAGTTTAGTATTAGTGTAGTAAGTAAAACCTCAACTAAAACTAAGATGCCCAACCAAGACGGTTTAATACACAACTGTTTTAGAACGTATAAGTGATTGGTCGCTTTTAAATTTCCCTTTTTTGTGACAATGAAACAATTGCTAGTTCTGACGGCTAAGAAACATTTCATTTGATTTGCGTTCGATTCACGGTAATAAAAAAAAAATTGCTGATATATCAACACTCATCGTTGATTCTGGCCGTTAACAGAAAGGAAAAAAATATGATACGTACCTATCTACTGCATTAAAAAACTAAACTTTTATGCCAACGTATAAAATAATAATATAAACCAGCTTATATAAACAAGACATATTTATTCAATTGAGGTTTGTTTTGATCATTCTATGAACTATAAAACATATAATTCGCTAGGATTCATCTGTCGTCTCTCGGCAGCAGTGTATATTTTCCTATGCTATGGTCACGCAAAATCTTGTGCTGCTGCAGAAATACAATTTAAAATCACTAGCATCCGAGAGACGCTAATGCAAAGCCAGACAACAATTCAACTGTTGTAGCAGGCGCTTCCAATTTAGACCTACTTTTCTTAAATTCGCACAATTGTTTTTGATTGCTGGTCTTCACACATCATGGAACTATCTTATTGTCTTACTACAATACTCTCTCTTCTGTATAAATATTATCATAATTATTATTTTCTTTGAATTGCAAGTCAGCAATTTGTGAATTACGATTTGAAATGGGATTGCTTGAGGTCTGTATGAAAAGCGTGACAGTAAACAACCATAGTTCAAATAAATACTGATGGATCGTTTTAACTATGAAAACGTATTTTGCTCAATAACTTAGAACGTTCCTTTGTTAAGCAAGCGAATGCGAAAGCAATACAGCAACTTTTCACACCTTTGAAATACGTTTTACAAAGATATAAGAAGTTTAGCTAAACATTTTTGTATAATATTTTATTCTACAATAGCATATAAATGAAAAAAACATTTTATTAAAACATGTAGAAAAAGTACGGAAAGATTGTCGCCGCTGTGGGAATCGAACCCACGTTTTAATGTTCTAATTTCCTACGTTATATTATATTTCCTAGTTTTAATGTTCAATCTTAAGTGCAGAGATTAGCACTATAAAAAACTTTGAAATTTAAAAACATTTTAATTTAAGTGCTATAGTGATTAAAAGTAAAAAGTGAAGTAACAGCCTATACACGTACTGCTGTGCAAAGGCCTCTTTTGTACAGAGAGTATTAGGATATAGTCTACCACGCTACCCCACTGCCGAATGGTGGACTTCGAAATATATTTTTTTGTTAGTTATTATTTCGAAAATATGCAGGTTTCCTCTTGATTTTTTCCTTCACCCCTGAGCACGTGAGAAGTCAGCACTTAAAATTAACAATTTCATTTGTACCGGCACCGCGGATCGAACTCAGGTTGCTAGAGTATATTGAATTAAAGGCGAGCGCCCGGAAACCGAGTGTGAACATAAATCTACTACTGATAGTGTGATGAGAGAATTATGCTTTATATTCAATATAAATCAGCACGCAACAGTCTTCACTGTTGCACGAATGGGCAGGTCCGTCCGGGAAAGTGCAGAGAACACCGGCGTGAAGTGGAAGTTATACACTTTTGTGCTTTCTCTGGAGGGTGATGTAACTGGGGTCCATTTTATTAAAAAAAGTGGCTACGCATCCGCAACCCTAAGGGTGTCCAAATAACACTTCGAAATGTGAAGATGCCAATATTTTGTATCTAAATTTAATCAAAAGAACTGTTTACAGATCAACTAAAAGGTCAAATACGTGTCAAATATAGGCTTGGTAAATGATAGATATACGTAATTTCCTATTCAGAAGTTGTATAGATTTCATTTGTTGTTGATTAATAATAGTTTGCTCTTTCGCAGTGGAGGTGGAGTCGGTGCAGGGTCCTACGAACGGTCGGGTGGAGCTGCCGTGTGACGTCAGCCCTGCCCTGTCAGCGGATCGCGTAGGCCTCGTGATATGGTACAAGCAGGGACACGAAACGCCGATATACTCGTGAGTGATATTGATTAACCATCGAAACAATCAAAACTAATGATGAATTTTCTCCGTGACGAAGAATCTTAAATAAAAAAAATTTTTCCTTGACAAATAGTTTCGTACAAGAAGATCAATTCGTAATTTCACGCCCGATTTCTAGAACACTGATCATCGTAGAAATTATTTAATCAGCTGTCAAATGGCTTTTCAAATTGTCATTTGCGTTGCCAAAAGGATGATAAACTCTCTGAAATGATCAGAATGATCAATTCGAAGAGTTTAATAATGCCATCTGATAGCTGATTGGTTGATTTCTACCATGATCAGGGTTTCAGAAACTGGACGTCAATGTTCCCAAAGTTGACGTTAGGAAAACGCCTGGTCGTAAGATAATTTATTTATTTATTTATTTTTAAACTTTATACACAAAACACCGTACATAGGCGGAATTAATGCTGATAGCATTTTCTACCAGTCAACCTTAGGGTGGTGCTGAGAAGTTGCACAAACATATAGGTGCACAAACATATAAAAGAAAAGTAATAATGCATAATTATTTAATATAAATATATAATACATAATACAATTCTATCGGTGTAAGCGATAATCTTGATAAGTGTTCTAACAAAATGCTTCGTTTCTTGTACACATGAGTGCGATAAGTGTAGGAGTTAAGAAAGTGTCTTTGAAATAAAACATGAGATTAATGTTACTAGCGTTCCCAAGTTTGTTTATTCCCTTAGTTATATGAAAAGAGAATGAAACAGAAATACTAAAGGTCATAGCCATAAATACTTTTTTTTTTTTTTTTTTTTTTTATGCGAAAAGTTGTCACACGAGCAGACGGTTCACCTCTTTAAGTGAATACCGCCGCCCATGGACATCTGCCACACCCGAGGTTACAGATGCTTGACAACCTTCTGAAAAATGGGCTAAAAAGACGAAAAAATATTTTTCATACTTCCACTTTACGCTGGTTTCTGTGAGGTCGTTGTATAACCTGGACTGGCCTGCCCATTCGTGCAAAGCCGGGGGACCGCCAAATAATTAATTCAATATAATTCAATATAAAAATAACTTAATTCAATATAGGCCTCTTTCGGGCACTTATGAGCGCCAAGTTCTATGATCAAACTATGTAACAAACGATCTAATTATGGCATTTAAGAAACTGAAATAGTGAACCAATAGTGCTACAAACAACTACAAAAAAACAAACTAAGAAAAATAAAAATTAATTTTTATTAATATCGTTTTCATGAATGTTCAGTGTGTATTGGGTATGAATGACGCTTAATCGGTGGCTATTCTGAATTTTATATTTGTTAAAATGGGAGACTATTGTTTAAGCGTAATGAAAAGTAATGTTTGAGCAAGTAATATAAAAATAGATTACAATGGCATATGTGGCAGCACTGGACAGTGTTCTGCCGGTAAAATAGAATAATTTATAACTATTATATATTAGGGGAGTGTGAGGGGCCCACCCTTTTATAGGAGGTCAATGCAAATACCACTCTACGGCAATTATGGATGTAAGAAATAAAGAACGAAAGAAAGAAAAACCTTTAATCACTGTCTAAACACAATGAATACATAAAAAAATTTAAATTATTACAGTAAGTGACGGTCTGTGTAAAAGGCATAAGAACGTGAAACGGACGGGACTCGGTAAAAGTCGAGATACAGTAACTAAAATTTTGGATGTCCATGACAGACAGTATTCACTTCTATCGGGTGACCCGTGTTGTCGTTTGCTTCCTTCCCTCATAAAAAGGAAACAGAATGTCAAGTGCTCCAGCATCTGGGGCTGTCAAAAACTCATACCTGCGTCATTACGCACAACAAAAGGCTTTCGTAGTTTCCACGCCGAGAAAGGATATGGTAATATTGTGACAAGGGGCGTGCAAACAAGGGGATGTAAATGTGAAGTGGGAGGCTGACAAAACGGATAGATTGTGTAAACAAGGGTTTGCGAGCTCGTAAGTGGAAATTGAGATAACAATGTGTAAAGAGGCGTCGATCGACAGTCGCCTCATGCTTGCGTCTTTTTTGTTCAACCGTTCAGACTCCTATGTTGTGTCGCAGACCGTCAGGTCGGGGGAAAGTTCAAAATTTCCTGTTACAAATAGACCTTTCTGAAGCTTTAAAACTCAATGTACACCAGATCTCTTTCTGAATATTTTTAACAGTTCATCAATATTGATCAATTATATTCGTTGATCAGCACTTTTTGTTATGATTTTCATATTTTGGGAAGAAAATATGTCATTAATCATCATTTGTTACGGTTTTCATAGGCTCTATTTAAATTTTGATATGCCTCGTAATATATTTTTTGATACATTTCATTTATTCTAGTATTAAAAACGTTGATATATTATCGATTTTAGTAATTTACGGTTTTTCTTACGATTATGTTCTTAACTTCCAATGTCGATTTGTGATCAGTATGTGATATCTACTTTAGTTTTATTGATAATCACGTCTTCTTTTATTTTATTTTACTGAGGGCAGGCAAACGTACAACCGGCTCACATGAGTTGATCACCTATAAACTTTTGAAACATCGGAGGCGCTGTAAAAATGTAGCTAGCCTTTAAGATAAGAATACCCCTTATTTTAGAAGGCCCATAAGAACAATCGATGCAATAAAGTGATAGAAAGTTGTACTTAAAATTAAAATTTAAGTAAGTAGTAAAAGTAAGTAATTTTATTTAAGTGGTTTTATTTATAGTTTTAGTATTAGAATTTAAGTAAAACGGTGTTGATGGCATTTTTAATCTGCATTCAGCTTAGTGGATTCGGGCTCATAGAATAGGGCTAAGGTATCCTTGCCTATCGTTAAAGACGACTAAAAAGGGACACTAGATCCACGAACGATCTGAATGGGGAGAATGTTGTATTATTTTTATTGATCATCTCATCATTAACATCAAAGTCACCTGGAAAACGTCGACTATTGACCCGTTCCCTAGAACGCTACAGTAAATGACTCCTTGCCCGTGTCTATTACTATGTCGTTGGTTCATCTAGTGAGAATTTTTCTTCTCCATCGGTTATTAGTTCTTCGTGACCCTAGTTCTTCGGTGTTTCCCTTTTCCGGATTATATCTCGAAAAGAAACTCCGAGTAAACTCTCTCGATACCTACTTTTATCTGTGCTATAAAAGCCAAATCTTAAGAAGGGCAAGTCGTATGCGTTTTTAAATTTTCGTGCACTGTGGTATCCTTGTTGAATGTATACAGGGTCCATGGTTAGGGGCCTGAGCAGGCTGAGATGTTTTACGGCCAATATTTCTGAGTTAGTCTCGGCTTCCGTCAACTTTTAATGTATCTTTATTATATAGGACAAACAAAAGAGCTATAAAGAGGTTATATCATAATGTAAGGAGTCGGGTAGCTGGAAGAAACTAAGACATTTTGGACGGTAAACAATCTCAGTTTGCCCTGTGACCAAAGACTCTGTTAAGGATTCGAAACGTCTGGAATCAAAGTCAAATTAAACGTAAATTAGTTTTATTTAACAATGTATACACGCTATTTCCGTAAGCTTTAGGTCTTTATTATTGAGTTTTTTTTTTCATTACGGACGAGAAGTAGTAGTTAATTAGCATACAAATAAAAGTCATATGTTAATAAGGAGTATATATAAATTATCTATTTTAAAAATTAACTATATTCTGATATTTCTGGTAAAGTGGAAAATAACGATCGGCGCTGAGAGTAGCGTGCGCAGATTAATTGAATTAAGGAAAACAGTAAATTTTAAAAATAGAATGTTTTTTTTTACCGAGGACAGATTAGACGCACGAGAGGGCATAACGTCCCAATGGTCCGATCCTTCGACCCTGGGTAACCGGGCCAGTTTCCGGACGAACACCACGCCCGCCGTGCTGGTACTGAATAAGCTGAGGTGAGTTTATTTTTGATACATCATAATTAGAAAACAATTTTTAAAACTTCAGATTGCATTTACCACTGTTCCGCAATTTCGAATCCTAGTGGATTTACATATATGGATTTCCATTGCTCGGACATCTTACTTAATAAATTCATTGACATAATTCATTTATGTATTTCACAAACTCATATTCCTTATTATAAATTCTTACAAATATGTATTATCCAATTATACCTACAATATTCTTTTAGAAACCTTACATTATGAAACATTCTAAAAACTATTGGGAATCGCAATTAATATAATAGTTGGGCTCTTAACTTGATTTGCGGGTATTTTACGTAAAAAATTACTGAGTGTTTTACTCGTTTTTCGGAAAACAATCAAGTTTTGGTAAAAGACTTAATTTATGCTACCTTATCTTCTGATTTTGTAACTCAGAAAAAGGTATTTACTTTATCTTTTAAAACCTCGACGTACGTACTTATTTGACTGTTCAACTAGAACCAAATACTTAACAAACAACTTAAAAACTTGTATTCTTTATACTACCTGTCAAATTGCAGCGATTTGATATCGTATTACCAGGAAAGTATACAAATAATAAATTGAACTGTGATATATTGTGAAATATTATACTGTGAAATACATATTATGTAAGGTAATAAAAGAAAAATGATGTAAACACAAACTATGACTTAGGTTGTCAAAGTTTTATTAGTTAAGAAATACAATACACGAAAACTTGCATGGGTTTTTGTATTTTAGTAATAAAAACAACTTTTATAACTCGAACTGGGGAAAAGTATATTTAGTGTAATATATACATTGAAATAAATAATCATTCAATTCGTTATTTATTAAAGTTCTCTTATAATGTAAAGAAGCCATGCTGACTTTAGGCCTGTCCTCTGTTATTTATTCGGCAAACATCATTATACAGATAATTTCAGAAGTCCGTCTGAAATTGTTTGCCGTCTGCGTCTCGATTTCGCTTATTACTTTTTGGTGACGTGATAATCCAATTTTAAAGTTTTATTACCTATTTATGAATTCTTGTAATATAACTTGTAATTTTGTAATTACTTTAATATTAAATTTGATTTGAAAATTTTAATTACTTTACTAAAATTATTGTGGGTAAAGTCAATGTTTTTATTATACGTCCAACTACCTAACATGCTACCTTTTCGAGGATTTCCTATGAATATGAAATCTAATATATTTATATTTTATATATATAATCGAACCCAAGACCCCTAACGCCGAAGCCACGGCAAATGGGCCACGGAGTAATCAAATCAATATACTTAAATAGGCATTGTTCAGTATCGTAGCTTCTCGGCCTTATCGCGTAATAGCCGTTGAGTGGTGTTGATAAGTTCTAGGCTTGATTCCGAGCCGGTACCACTGTATAACAGTTTGTATTCGCACCTGGAATTATTCTTAACTGTTGCCTAATGCGCTCTTTTTTAAAATTACTGCTACGTAGGCGTGTACATATTTTTAAATCATAGCGGTACGAAATCTTGTGACTATAATTCAGATGCGTGTGGACAAGACTATCAGAATACTTTTATCACGATCAACGATGATTCCTTTTGATGGAGCCATTATGTTAAAATTGGAATTGGGATTGGATGATTCCTTCTAAAGGTATAATAAATTTCTATTTTATTTTAGTTTATTTTATTTTACATTTGTTCAACCTCATCTCGAGCAACTTGCTTATTTCGAAATTTGGAAACACTTCAAAAATTTAAAATTATTTATGATTACAAACAGTTTGTTATTAATTATTCAAAGAGTTGTTCTTCAGATAACAACCTAGTGGAATCGTTAGCTTTTATGTAGGTCGTCAGAAAAGAAATAAAAAAAACTTAATATAAATAAGGAACGTGAAAATCTGCATAAAACAGCTCGTTAAGCATTATGAGCCTTCTTGTGTCTTAATTTAATACGCGTATTATTTATTTTTTCTATGTTCATGTATATTTTTCACAGGCCAGAAGACAGCGGTCAGTACAGGTGTAGAGTGGACTTCATAAAGTCACCGACGAAGAATACGAGGCTCAACCTAACAGTGCTTAGTAGGTACTCTTTGTGACTTAACAATACTAATATTTACGGCATTCTCCGGCACTGTCTCATTAAAGGAGCTGCTATCTCGAAAGCGCCACAATGTTCGCTACACGAAAGAAACAAAAGAAGCTTGTATAATTTTCCGGTTTCCTTTATATTCTTTGCTGCTAAAGTGCTGTAAGCATTAAGTCAGACTACGTAGTTGGCGCGAAGAATTATATCGGATTTTCTCTGAGCTTACTTCTACATGGTAGCGTACAGCAGTTTGTGTCACGAACTCTCCATTTTATTGCGGAACATTTTATATACAGACAGGCTTTTACCGCGATGACATCGTACCAGTGGCGAGAATGTTCAGAGTTTCACATTTATAATATTAGTTCGATAAATCAATGCAAAGAAAAGAAAACTAACACTAAATGTTGGTGATGTAATACGGCATCATGAAAATCCATTTGAACAAAAGGATTATAAGAAGATGATTACTTAGTTCCAATTGAATTCTCTTCACTTTAATTCAGATCTAAGTACCAGACTAAACTTTTAAAGACCGAAATATAAAATGCTCTCTTGCTGAAAGTTTTTAGTGAAACTTTCCTAATAATTATGATTTTTCTAGTTGTGTATTTGTCGTTCAAAATAATATCTAATGCTACAAAATACACAGCAATAAATTACAATTGCTCCGTTTGGATTTTGTTATTTTCGCGGTAAGATATAAAGTTCGCCGGCCCGTGAGGAGCTGTTTTAACATCCGTTTGGGGATCGAATACTGTATTGGATTTATCTTTTATCGTCCGTAAATGCGGTCGTTCCGTTGTAAATTACATGACCCTTTTCACCGAGCCCGCTTCTCATATTTGTTTTGTTGGAATGAAGTGACGTTTACAAAGTGGAGATCAGTAAATTGAAGCTCATGTTTTTTTTTTAATTTTCTGAAAGTAGAATAAGATGGCTAGTGCTGTGCCTTTAACTGGACCCATTAAGATTCTAACGAGGCAGGTAAGACGTTCGGTACTGACCTTCTATGTAGTGTATAAAGATCAACGTGTACTCGCCGCTACCAAATTGTTATTGTTTGCTAGCAGGTTTTCACGGAATGAGTGACTGATAACTGATGGGTTCGATAGATAGATTTGCCTAAGCACTCCGTATGCCTAAAGAAGTCTCTCTCAACAGATTATTCCTATGTACCAGTTGTGGAGCATTTTATATATTCTGTTGTTGTGGGTCGGTGATCAGTTTAATATCGGTAACAATAAGCATTAACTAGACAGACCGAGATTCAAAATATATGTATATATGTATATATATATACTATACATAATACATAAACAATGAATGACGTCACAAATCAAATCAAATATCTTTATTCAACATAGGAGTATTACACTCGCTTATTGATAGTCAATATACCACCACCGCACCGGTTCGGAAATGAAAGCCACCGTACTGAGAAGAACCGGCGAAAGAAACTCAGCGGGCTTTTTTTTTTTCATTTTTACACACGTACACAGTGTGACATGAATATATTAAAAACTCTGATTGAAAGAGTCACAAGTGAATTTCGACTAAACGTTACGCTTTTCCTCCAGTTCCCCCGGATCGGCTGATTGTGCTGAACGAAAGGAACGATGAAGTACATGGAAACGTCCTCGGCCCATACGACGAGGGCGCCGAGGTCAACTTGACGTGCGTAGCTGTGGGAGGTAATTACTTCTTTATTGCGTTTCACTACTAGCCATTCCAAAATGCAGGTTGAGTGTTTTCGTTTGTAACCAGCAGGCGTTTTAGTTTTTGATTATTTTACGTGTGAAGCTGGCAAAAGAACTGGCGGTTCTCTCGGTATTAAGTGATAACCATCGCCCACTGAGATATGCAACACCCGTAGGGATGGGTCGATCGGTTGCCACATTTTAATAAACTGGCCCCGGATACCTCACTCATCAGAAAAAGCGCGGATGTATAAAAATTTCCCTTCACGTCAGTCTTCTCTGAGGTCGTAGTACTTACCGACAAACCTGCCTATTCGTGCAACAGTGAAGACTTTTGCGTGGCTCGACCACACTTCAAGGATTAAGTATACAATATTAATATTTGATAGTCTTAATAATATCGTTCTTTCTCTTATCCCCAGTTATTTACATACAATTTTAGATACTATCATTTTACCAATTAGTTACAATCAGTACCTACATGTTCCTAACTAAGTCGACTCACCTTTCTACCAAACCTATTTTCAAATTTAATTTCTAGTTTTCAATCGTCTCCTACTCTAAGCTTACTTTAGTACCGTACATTAAGATTATTAATAGTAATGGTTCTCATTTACAAAAGGCCTTGTTAAAAACTAATGATTATCTTAAATCGAAACGTTTTTTTCAATTCAAGTAGCTCGTACCTAACCTATATAAGGGTCATTAAATTTAACAATAAGAACATTTCACTCCTGGCTATAAACAACGAAACTGTAATAGGGACAGAGAGAGAATCAAGTAGCGAGCTCGTGATCCATTTCGGTAGTTCCCCAAGGGCATCAGGAATTTTCCCGACGAACGTGTAAAAATACGTGTCACAATAACTTGAGAGAATTCAGCTGTTATAATTAAATGTTTATATGTAGAAATTAAAAGAAGTAGACCGCATTAAAGTTTTTTTAGTATAAGTTATAATTATTTAACTATGATTAACGCGAGAGATATAATTCTACGTCGCGTCGGCTAGAAAAGGCATCGGTAATTATTACTTCAAGCTAGGTTGAGTTTGCAGTAATAGGTACTGATAGGTACAGGTTTTGTTTATGTAGATGATTGTCGCATCAGAATTGAACAATTGTTGTACCTACTACGTTACTATTTCTTTTACTACTTTAGATAAAAAAAGCTAATTAGGTTCATACGTCATTAAAATATAAATTCGTAACATTTCATTTTTAATTTTAGTGCTCAAATTTTACATCACTGCCATGTTTTGTCACATTACCACTATTGTGTTTGAATCATTTTGGAATTCTATATTCTGTATTTAAATATAAACCTTTCAAGGCACAGCAAATGGATTGTATCATAACAATCCTTTTGACGTATCTTATTTACAAAATAGTTTTTATTCAACATATTGAAACCTTTAAGCACAATTCATTGAGAGAAACCATTTGAAAGGTTTTTGTTAGACTTAAAACGTTGCCCTTATTCTATGAAAACGTTATCCTTTGTTGAAAAGGTGACAAAATCTGCAAATTTATTGTACATGATGTTTGTTTAGTACACATCATAGTTAAATATTTAAATATTAATTACTTATTGCTGCGTTCTATCGATAGTCAAATCCAGAACTCACACGACCTCCACATTGCATTTTTATGATTTAATTTATTTGTTATGTCAATGTTTTAGATCAGTGTCAACTTCTAGGTAATAACTGCTATATGTGCAATAACTAGGTAAGTAAACATTATATAACAGTTAACAAGAAATAAGGTAGGCCTACAAATTCCTAATCGATACCACCACTTGGCATTTTCCCACGTAGCGTGTTCCCACATACATAATCGGTTTCACAATTCTAATACTTGTCTTATAATATCTGTAATATCGTAATATGTGGTTTCAACATTGTATAACATAAAGGCTTGTTCATACTTTGACGTTTCGGAATTCTTTAATTGTATTTTTGTTATCACAAACTGTCTAGGTCTAGATCTGGCTAGTTAATGATATCCTACACTGCGTATTTGGGCTGATGTTAAAAGCCATCTAGCTGTTCTGGAGTTAGTGGAGAGGGCGGCGAGAGATTTATTGGTGACCCTGATATGATAAAAAGTAATCTCGATTGTTCCAGTGTGTCTATATACCTTTGTTTTGTCAAATGTCAAATAAGTAAGTTATAAAACGAGATCACAGGAAAGGTAAATCTTAAGTTTGAAATGAAAACTATATAACTTTATATCGATCATTTAGGACAGTTACTGGGAAAGTGTCGTTTTTACAATGTTTTGACAGCTTTTTCTTTTCGCTTTTACTGTTCGTCAATAATGTTATCACTCAATGATGATAAATTCGTAATGCGTGCAATCATAACAAAAGAGTGAAACATTAATTTGCTAGCATTATTCTTGCCGCCCAAATATGTGTGTCTTTAACGTAGTTTAGAGTGTGTAGAGTGAATAATAATAGGCTTTTACTAAGCTAGTGTGTTTATCACCTTACATCACTCATGACCGTCATATGGAATGGTAGTAAAGTTAATTACTTTTAAAGTAAAAAAATATAGCTCAAACTTACTTGTCATTGGAGAGAGTCCAGTCTGATGTGTGACCCGTCCTCTCCCCCTTCAAACACAAGCAACTCCTAGTGCGAAGCCTGACAGTACTGAAATTGTTATAAGGATATCTTTGTTCATCATAGGAGCATTACACTCACTTATTCTTTGACAAAATACTACGACCGTTTCGGAAAAGAAAAGCTGATCTGAGAAGTATCGACAAAGGCAACTGAGTTTTTGCCATTATTTGACAAAGAAACATCAACAAGCTAATTTCACTTTATTATAAATAAAATAAATAGATAAACATTTTTAGGATACATTTTTACACAACGTTCTCTAGTCCCAAACTAAGCAAAGCTTGTACTATGGGTACTAGATAACTGATAAACATACTTAAACATACTTTCCTTTTGTAAATAAATACATATTATAGATATATAAACAACCAGACACTAGAAAAACACTATGTTCATCACACAATATTTTTCCAGTAATGGGGATCGAATCCACAACCTCTGGCGCAGAAGGTAGGTACACTACCGACTGCGCCATTCGGGTCGTCGTTGTTTATCAATACTGTTTATTATATTTCTTTGATCGTAAAGGAGCCTACACTACTGACCTTAATTCATTTTTTTTCCATCAATTTTCCTGAAAGTTTGATGATCCTCTAAGTTAGAACATTATTATCAAGAATACAATTTCAAACACGATATACGCCTACTTTGATTAATGTACACTGAAAGTGCTGAGCAGCGAGCACCGCTTTGTAGAGTGCTAGATGTATATAACTTTAAATTTGTAAATTGTGATTTTTTTCATTCTCACAAAATCAATTTAAAAGAATGGTTACATTAATACTTAAATCGTAATAATGTATAAACGAGGCTAAGAACCGACTTAATCTTTTTATTTTATTTCAATTAATATTATTTTGCGAACATTGGTGTTGGTACATTTAGAAAAATAATTCGAAATTCTATTTCTGTATAACTTTTGATGTTTTATTTATCAAAAAAATAAAAATAAAATACTGTTGACCTTTTAACATTGGATTTAATGTACTGTGGAACCGCGTTTCGGATATACGTATTTAATACGATTGATAGTATTTGGAGTACTCCCATATTCTGTCCACTATAATTACTGCCACCCATCCGGACTTCGCTTAACCAGTTTATATTATTTCACGTATCGATCGGTCTGCTTTAATACATAAAGGTCAGAGTAAAACACACTATTGTCCGTGCGTGTTAAACAGACCGTCCCATTACGTAAAGCCAATGTGGAAGGACGAACGCAATACCGTTAACACAACAAAATTCAATTTCAGCGTGCACTTGCACATCAATTGTCAACTGTTATTCATTTCCCGTTATTCATCACGATATTGTTACTCCGACCCAGTTACGACCGTAATGGTGTGTAAATTGTCGCGTTCATTGTTATTCCTGCTATCGTGATTATCTTTGGCAATGATTTTTGAAATTGATCTTAGCCTATATAATTTATTTGGAAATGTATTCGTGAAGAGATACTGGTAGATATAGATATTTTCGTTTTCTTGATGCCATTATTATCGTTGGGCTTATCGCTGGGGTCGGGAATATAAGGCTGTGTTTTGTATCTGCTAGAAGGAGAGGCAAATTGAAGTGAACAATTTAGATTTGAACCCCTGTTTTTAAATCGCGATTGGTCATGACTGTTGAGCTGACAGGTTTAAGTAATAGATCAGTTTTACTTTATTTTGTTTTTATTAATTTCAAGAGAAATGAGGAAAAAATACTAGTAGTGTTTTAACTAGACAAAGTAATCTATTTACAACATTACATTAACATCTGCATGATTTAGAATTTTTTTTAGATAATAAAATTTACGATAAGTCATATAATTTGAAGGTGTATTTTATATGAAGAAAAAATAAATGTGAAACATAGAATTATTATATTTGAGCTTATTTCAAGTGGAATTATTGCACAAAGGTCACTAGAAATACTGTAGCCCGATATAATGGCAATTTGCTTTTATTTCTAAGAACAAATTGCTTGCCTTTAATTTATTCTACTTCAAATGCTAGTACTAGAATCTTTTTGTTAGAGAAATTACGCGTGTAGTCAAAGGCTAATTTTCTTTATTTACAAAAAAGAAAATTACTTTTAAAAAAGAAAAGTTTTTAGTGTAACATTGTACATTTTAAAAGATGTACGGAATGTTAAGTATGTATATACGATGCATATTATTAACGGAAGAAGATTGTAATGTTTTTTTTAAATAACCTCTAAATACAAGTACCTAGTTGTTTATTTTTAAATTTTAATTAAAATTAAAACATTTTCAATAGAAATGTTTCAGTACAATATCAATAAGCGGGATTTAAATTATAGGTTTTCTCAAATAAAATACCTTACATCATTGATTTTCACACTAATATCTGTTTAGAGCATTGGTTTTTCATTTTCCGCTTACGTGGCTCAGTCATTGCCCGTGTGGAGTTCGTTATGGCCGCTTTTAATATTTTATTTACAGATTGATATAATATATACGATATAATAGATTTGGTTACTAGCGATACGTATTTGCTATAGTACCATAATAATCACGTCAAAATTCTATCTCCAGTAACCAAATCTATCTGTATATACAATATTGAAACCGCCCGTTAATCAACTATTATATTTAAGAAAGATTTATAAAAAGAATAATATTTCACTCTTCCCCAGAAGACATTCATATGAGACTGGATAGATATCATGTCTTATTTCATTTAATCTTATACAAATATAAAACTATAATTATAATACTAAAAACATTTTAAATAAAACAGTTTTTGAAATGTTTGGTATTAATATGCAAAAGCATAAATATTTATTCGTGTGCCATGAATTAAATTATTCATATTAAATGTTTATTATCGTTACATGCAACTGTAACAAATAAATATTCTTTTCCGAAATGAACCCCAGACTGTAAGAGGTGTATTTTTTTAAATAAATTTTAGAGCCGTGATATATTTATGCCCGGGTGTTTGCTTTTAATCCAATATACTCGAGCAACCTGAGTTTAAATACAGGTTCCGGTAATAATGAAATTGTTAATTTTTATTGCTGATTTATCAGCGGTGAAGGAAAACATCGTGAGGAAATCTGCACATTTTCCAAATAATAACAAAATTTTTTTTTCTTTTTAAGAAATCTGTAGTCCCCCAATCGGTCAGGGTCAATGGTTATGTCCTAATATACTCTGTCAGGAGGAGGCCTTTGCCCAGCAGTATGTGTATAGGCTGTTACTTTACTTTTAACTTTACTTACTTTAGGCACTTAAATTAAAAATGCTTTTTCATTTATGTGCTATTGTAGAATAAAATATCCTTATACAAAAACGTTTAGCTAAACTTCTAATATATTTGTATGACGTGTTTCAAAGATGTGTAAAGTTGCTGGAATATTGTAATAGAAGAGTCCTTTGCCCAGCAGTGGGCATACATAGGCTTTAGTTACTTTACTTTAAATCGTTTTGCGGACAGTCTGTGGAACATCTCCGTTTATCATCAATTTTTCTTTCTTATTCCTATTTCTGTCTCTTTCTCATCACTGGGAACAGGCCGACCTATCGCGAGGGTCTCGTGGTGGAAGACACACGCACTGCTGGCGAACTCCGAAGCAAGAGCCACCGTCTCCCTAAAGCTACACAGGCCAGACTTCGGAACAGAAATCACGTGTCAGGTGAAGAAAACATTTTTAAATAAATGGTACATTAAAAAAATTATGAATATTAAGTCGTGCCTTCCGCAGCTGCAGTAAACGATTCGATGCTATTTCTCTCAGTTGAAGTTTGATGCGTTATTTTTTAATATTCATTCAGATTAATGCTACAGGTTTAAATGTTTCAAAGAATTTTACCGTAACGGTTTCGCATTCACGCGAGAGCCTGAGCTGATTTTCATTTGCAAAATAAATCTTACTTGTTAATGGATCAATTCCTCCAAATTAAAACTTGAAAGATATTCAAGGTTATTATACATTTTTTAAAAACTTTTGTTTTCTTATTTGTTATATTAGCTGTTGGTTTTCACTAAAATAAAACGAACGTTGTCAGCCCGATGTGTCACTTTTGACGCTTTTTAAATTTCCTTTTTATATATATTTATATTCATCAGGCTTTTTGGAGTCAACTTAGTCTTAAGGAATGCCATTTATGAATTAGTTTATACATATACTCATAAATGATTAAAGAATGACATAATAAGCACGCTTTAAATATTAACATTTTAATATCTGCCCGACTTCGTTTACTTCCTGTAATAAAGATCATCAGATTAATTATATATATTATTTATTTATTTATGTTTATGTATGTTTATTATAATTTATTTATTTTATTATTATTAAGTAAGTTTATTAAGCACACGACCTCCCACTATTCATAAGTTTATTTTCCTTGTCCTAAGGAAGAGATCGCTCTTTAGCGATAAGACCGCCTTATTGTACCTAGCTTTTAAGATTTATTTTATATGAACTGTATAAAACTTTTTGTGGTGTATAATAAAGTATATATAATAATGTAATAATAATAAAGATCTCTTAGTTTTGTCTAGGATAAAGACTTAAATGTTCTATTCCGTAAAATATATGTAACATTTATTTTTGTAAATACAGCACAAAGATTAATTTGATTAGTGTTCAAAAATCAAATTACGTTCATTTTTCAAATGTCTAAAATGATTGTTAACACATCAATGACGTATTGTTTACCTTTTCAGCGCGTCTATTTTCAAATAGTGATGTTAAATTCGGTTCGCAGGCAGTCACCGATCCGTCAATACCACCGTTATCCCACAGGCTGTCGATTGACATGAATCGTAAGTTATCACATTTAATTTATTCGGGTATTGTTATAAGCTTTCTAGGGTATTGTTATTCGGGGATTTTAGCTTGCCACACTCATAATAATCGTGGTTTAGCCAAATGAAAACTATAGTTAATTCTTGTATTTTAATCATAACATAAGTTATAATACATGTTAAATGACACTATTTTACGGATTTTATTAGACTTGATCGCTGGAAAGAATTCGAAACGTCGGGAATTTAATAAAAATCTAATGGAATGCGATAATATCCGTAAAAAAGTTTCATTTAACAATGAATAATATTCGCTTAAAAACAAGAAGTCAATATATAATAGATTGTTTTAGTCCTAAAACAATTAAAAAATGCGATTAAAAAACGCAGCGAGATTGACAAGTGAACCTCTTGTGATCCTTATGGTGAAATTACATCAGAATTGCATTGCTATTGTGATCGATATCATGTCATTAATGGCATTTAACGATATGAAATCTAATTTATATATGTCATGATATATTATGATAAGGTAAGTACTGATGAGATCAATTTACTAATTGTTTATGTTCGTAGTGCCCCCGCTTTCTGTGAGAATACAAGGTGGTAAGAGGCCATTAGTCGCTGGTCAGAGCACGGAGCTGACCTGCCAAGTGGTGGGGGCCAGGCCTAAGCCTGCTATATCTTGGTGGAAGGGAGGGACCAAGTTGAAAACCGTCAGGGATTCGGTGAGTGGCTTGATACCTTTTGACGACCCGAATGGCGTAGTGGGTAGTGTACCTGCCTTCTGTGCCAGAGGGTGTGGGTTCGATCCCCACTACTGGAAAAATATTGTGTGATGAACATAGTGTTTTTCTACGGTCTGGGTTTATATATGTATAATATGTATTTATTTACAAAAGAAAAGTATGTTTAAATATGTTTATCAGTTATCTAGTACCCATAGTACAAGCGTTGCTTAGTTTGGGACTAGAGAACGTTGTGTAAAAATGTGTCCTAAAATATTTATTGTTATTATTATTATTACACGTTTTTTTAGTGAAGTAATAATTTTGAACTCTTTCTTCATTCCTAAGTCACAACTGAATCCACATCTTGTTGATAACTTTGAATAAATCCTTCGATGTTGCGAATGTTCTTAGTCGGCCTCATCGCTTAACATAAGACGAGTCGCATAGTCATTGGAAAATAAGAGAAATGTTCATAAAATTTCTACCTTTTGTTTTAAAACTAAGTAATACTTTTTGCCTTCCTCTACTAAGGTCCTTCTTGTTCAGTTCCTTATTTTTCCATTATTTGACTATGCTGATGTCTGTCTTACTAATATTTCCCAAGAGTTGCTGAACAAGTTGGAGAAATTACTGAATAATTGCATACGATTTGGTTTTGGGCTGCGCAAATATGACCACGTTTCACACTTCCGTACCCAACTAAAGTGGTTGACGATACGCCAGCGCAAAGACTTTCGTATCCTTTCTACTCTGTTTTCAATCCTTTATGACCCCTCCTCACCTTCCTATCTAAAAGAAAGATTTCAGTTCCTCGGGGACTCGCATTCCCTCAATCTTCGCTCTTCTCAAAATTCGTTACTGTCTGTACCCTCTCATCACGTATAAATGTGCAGGACGAGTGTCACAAATAGACTTCATTATCTCAGACCGGGCTGTTAAACAAAAGTTCAAGGACTGCAAAGTAATCCCTGGCGAGTCTCTAACTTCACAACATCGCATACTCGTAGCCGTGTACGCTCTGTCCAAACCTATGAAAACTGTGGTGGACCGAACACCGCGTACTAAGTGGAAAGATCTGGATAGCTATAAGGGCGAAGAACTAATGGGTGCAATTAAGGAATATCTAGACACTGATATTGGAATAAATTACGATAACGCTGAAGATATGTGGTCTAAGTTTGAAACGCATTGCAGAACTCAAGCTGCAGAAATTGTGGGAGTCTCCAAAGGACCCCCTGGAAATGGAAAGGACTCTAACTGGTGGAATAATGAGGTGAAAGAGTCCTTGGCAAACAAAAAAGATCTCTTTAAGAAATGGAAAAGTTCACAATTGGATGAGGACAAAAACCAGTACAAAGAAGCGAAGAAAAAAGCAAAGAAATGTGTGGCTATAGCAAGGGCAAGTAGTAACCAAGCCTTCTACGATAATTTGGAAAATGCTAAAACTGCTGATGAAGTACTGAAAGTGGCAAAATTAAAAAACAGAGCCACTACGGACATAAAGACAAACAAGTACATTAAAAATAAAGACCAAAAACTATTAACAGACAACGCGCAAATTATGGAGCGGTGGTATGAATACTACGAAAAACTACTGAATGAAGAATTCCCAAATGAAGACCCTACACCCTGCAAACCTACATTCGGACCAATACCCAAAGTAGATATGCCTGAGGTCCAACACGCAGTAGCCAAAATGAAAAAAACCGAAAAGCTACAGGCCCAGATGAGATACCAGCGGATCTATGGAAAGGTATTGGACCAATAGCGGTAGTGTGGCTAACCAAGCTTTTTAACATCATTATAACTTCTAAGCGCATCCCAGACTCATGGCGTCAAAGTTAGTTAGTTAGAACGGTAGTTCTATAAAAACAAGGGCGATGTAGCGCAGTGTGAAAATTACAGAGGTATCAAATTGACCTCACATACTTTTTTAAAAAATGGGAACGAATCATTAGTAAAAGGCTCACTGACATTTCTGTAACATCTCCAAATCAGTTCGGTTTTACTGCATCCAGATCAACAACTGACGCCATTCAAGCGATTAGAATCCTGATGAAAAAACATAAAGTGGAAACAAAGACCTACATCTGGCATTCATTGACCTAGAAAAAGCCTTTGACCGAGTTCCACGTAAGCTAGTGTGGCAAGCTCTTCGCGCCCAAAAAGTGCCAGAGTACTATATTGAGCTTATTAAGGACATGTACAACAGTGTCAGCACGAGAGTCCGAAGCCTAGCCGGCGTGAGTAAAGCCTTTGATGTCAAAGTGGGTGTCCATCAAGGATCTGCTCTTAGCCCTCTACTATTTAATCTTGTGATGGATTACCTCACAAAGGATATACCTTCCACATTGCCATAGACTATGCTATACGCGGATGACATTGTTCTAGCTGCTGATACCGCAAGCCATTTGCAGGAAACTCTAAATATGTGGACAAATACTCTTGAAAAGTACGGCCTGAGGGTGAGTAGGAGTAAAACAGAGTATCTGAAATGCCCTTTCAGCGGAAACGTGGGAACTGATTCTATTTGTGTTGGGACAACACCTATTCGCACAGTGGATAAATTCAAATACTTAGGATCTGAGCTTACAGCAGATGCAAAAGTTGAAGCAGACGTGGCCCATAGAATCAGAGCCGCGTGGTTGAAATGGCGATCACTTACAGGAGTATTATGTGATCCACGTATTCCCATAAAAACTAAGGGCAAAGTCTATAAAACTGCAGTACGTCCCGGCGTGCGTACGTACGTGCGGCGTTATTGTATGGTTCCGAATGTTGGACAACAAAGAAAGCGCATGAGCAAAAGGTTCATACCAACGAAATGAAGATGCTAAGATGGGCCGGAGGTGTGACTCGGCTTGACAAAGTCCGTAATGAATATATACGTGGCAGCTTTAGGGTCGCACCAATCGCAGACAAAATGACAGAAAATCGCCTAAGATGGTATGGACACATTAAAAGACGCAGCGAAGATCACGTAGTACAATTAGCCCTAAACCTGCCCGAATCAAAGAGAGGCAGAGGCCGCCCGCCAATGACCTGGTGGTCTACTATTGCAAGAGACCTCAAGAAAGCCCAATTGCCTGAAGCGACAACCCAAGACCGTTTGTCTTGGCGCAGGAAAGTGAGGAGATCCGACCCCAAATAACGGGATCAGGGACGGAAGAAGAAGAAGTCTGTACCCTCTCATCACTCCGGTTTCATGTCAAATTCTTTCACTGTCACTTCAATCTTACTTTGGAACAGGTTGACTTGCGACAATCGCCAACAAAAAATATTTTCAAAAGAAAATTGTTTGAGCATATTCTTGCTGAGTCTTAGCTACTTAATAGTACTTACTATGTATGAACATCTGAAATGTATTTATGTGTATATGTATGTATATGTATGTATGTATATTTATATATATGTTTGTATGTATGTATATATATTTATATATATGTTTACGTTGGCAGTTTTTAGATTTATTACCTAATTATTACATATTATTTATTTAATTATGTATCGTATATAACTACTTTACTGCCCTTGACATTTTGTTTCTGTTCTACCTAGGGTTAGCTGGTAGAGAATGCAATATAGCATTAAGCTCGCCTTTGTACAATTTTCTGTGCAATAAAGATTAAATAAATAAATAAATAAATAATACGCAAGTTATTTAAGTAACGATGACTGTTTTAATAAGGACTATTTTATTTCGTTCACCGATAATCAACGCCTTTTGCAATTTGCAAACACCCGTGGGGTTGCAGATGCGTTGCCTACATTTGATAATGTGGGCCCCAGTCTTCTGTGAGGTTGTGGTAATACACCGTAGAGACCTGTCCATTCTTGCAACAGTGAAGATTATTGCTTGGCCCTACAACAGTTATTATCTCTTATATTTGAAATTGCAATCTTATATGTAATGACTCTTTGACTAAATGTTGACAACATTCACAATTCTTTAACTCTTTTTTCAACATTTAATTTTAAAAATGTTTGCAATCAAAACGTTTTCCACTAATACCTTAATTCATAAAAATATTGTTCTGAAATATTTACAGTAGAAACATAATACTTTCATGCAATTAAGTGAATAATAGAACAACATGACAACAATGTGATTTAATTATATAAATTTGAAGCGACATAAAATCCGAACAGTAGTTTCATTCAATAAAATGAAATACATTATTCGCGTCCTCGTAACGATGTCTTGTTTGGAGTTACGCCAGCACATAATGGCCTGAGGATTGTACGCTTCATAAAATATCAGCCATTCGAGAATTTTCGCCGTCTAGCAGAAGAGGCTTTTAAGCCTACATCAGTTTTTCTTCTTCTTTATTAGGTACGTAAACAGCCAAATGTATATATATATATAGATTATTACACCCAACAGAAGAGATGTAACGGTATAAACCTAAGTTCTAACAACACAAGACTAGTTACTATACAACAACACTAGTATTTTTTTTATTTTATTCTATGGTTTAGTATTTGTTGTTATAGCGGAAACAGAAATAAACAGTCTTAGTAATAGGGTCCCGTTTTACCCTTTGGTTACGGAACTCTAAAAAATAAAAAGATTATAATACATATAGAATTCAAAATCTGACATTAAAAATCGAAAGTTAATGCTAATATATCACCACGTTACTCCAGTAATGCAGCACGTTTCAATCCGTAAATTGAGTCAACCACTTAAAGGATACAGACAACAAGTAAAATAGCAATGACTGATTCTCTGAAAAAGATGTCTCCGGGGAGTTGAAACTTTGTTTGCCCTCCTTATCCTTTATATACATAAGTTTTGTTTATGTATGTCATGTATCTCAGTAATGGTCTGGCGTCACACAATTATTATAATCTGTCGGGAATTGAAACAGCGTCAGATTTTTAGGGGAATTTTTTTTCGTAAAATTGAGGGAATCGGAGCCCTATTGCTGAGACTTCGCTGTCTGTCTGTCCGTCTGTCACCAGGCTTGTATCTCTTGAACCGTGATAGTGTGTGTGTGTGTGTGTGTGTGTGTGTGTGTGTGAGTGTGTGTGAGAGAGAGAGAGAGAGAGAGGGGGAGGGGGGGGGGGGGAGAGAGAGAGAGAGAGAGGGGGAGAGAGAGAGAGAGGAGAGAGAGAGAGAGAGAGAGAGAGAGAGAGAGAGAGAGAGAGAGAAAGCAAGCGTCTTATAGGTCCCCCTTTAGTACGCACAACGAATGACACTGCCATTTGCATCCACTGTGACTCTTACAATGTCGTTATTCAATCATTCATTCGTCATTCATCGTCGAATCATACCTCTCAAGTCATTTAACTTAATGTTTATCAAATGCAGAACCTGTTCGCATTCTAGCATTTAGTTTCATCTTATTTAGTTGGAAACTAGGCAGGTGTGGAGCACACGTATGTTTTGCATAAATTGGCCACTTGAGAATCAACGATCGATACGCTCTCCACAATACAACTGACCTATCTGTACAGTAACAGTACAACTGTCTAGACCAATTGTAAACACAGGCTGTTCTCCTGTTTGATTTGACCTCGAATAGATTACATAAGCCTTGTCTCATTAGTAAAGTATTCAATTAAACATGCACAGACTCTGTAGACGTTGCATAAATGTTAGTTGCAGTATTTAAAAAATACAATAAGCATTCGTATATTAAGCATTCCACGACTGTAAAGGACATATCAAAAGAAAGAAGCAAAACTTAACGGTGTCATGGTTTAAAAATAACTATGATATATTCTCGCAAAGTTTTGGGACCATTTTGGGACATGGTATTAGTGCTAATAGCTTCAACTAACTAAACAAAATAAATCAACATTTTAAGACATATTTTTTTTAAACAACGTTATCTAATCTCAAACTAAGCAAAGCTTGTACTATTGGATACTAGGTAACTGATAACCATACCTTTCTTTTGTAAATAAATATATATTATGGATATACGAGTATAAACACCCACAAACTGGAAAAACAGTATGTTCATTAAACAATGTTTTCGCAAAAGTCAGGTCCATTATCCGCTATGCCAAAAGGGTCGTCAAAACTGACGAAAAACAGAAAGCTTTGGTATTTTTTTGTAAATCTAATACAAAGTAGAAATTTTTAATATTATCTTTGGTTTATTACACACTGCATGTTTTTATACCCGATAGCTTACCAATTCAAATTAACTGCGATTTATCCAGCTATCTAGATGTGCTGGATGTGGATGGGGTATTATTCTCACTGGGTATTGGCAAGATGAAAGACTAGTTTGTCTTACACGACATTGCTGACGTGTGGCACTCTCGACAGACCTCTATGGATGGCAACGTCACCATCAGCGTCCTCACCTTCGTGCCGGCCATAGAAGACGCGGGGAGAGTACTCTCGTGCAGGGCAGCTCAGCCCTTAGTGTCGCATACCACCCGCGAGGATGGATGGAAGCTGGAGATACAACGTGAGTATTTTTTTCTGATCGGAATGGTATCAAATACGTCATTGAAGTCTAATTATATAGATGACGCATGTCCATACTGCGTCGCGTTTGAAAATTGTTCCGCTTTACATTGTATGACATATATAAGTGAATGTGACAGATGATATTGAATGTATGATATGGAAAGAGATAGCAGTCTACAGAATTTCAATCTAATTACACTGATTGGTGTCGATTGCCTAATTTTCCTTTGGATAGTAGTGATAAGCCTAGATTGTTGTATTCGGAGCAATTAATAATTTTAAATTTGCGGCAATTCGAAATCAATTTATCATAATTTTTAATTCGTCATATTCGTAGTATCAAAAATTGTTATTCAATTTGTTGTCCTCAGATTTGGATAAAACTTCATTGTATAAATTATATCACACGAATTGCACGTATTTATTGTAAATTCATAGTCTATATCTACATTGTTTTAAAAGGTTTCTGTTATTTGTATTTCGTAAATATAATACCGAAACTTAAACTTTGTTATAAAGTTATGTTATATTGTTATATTAATTACTAGATCTTTGACATTCATCAAATTCAAAACACAATAAAAAAGAGCTATCTTGTCAAACATAAGTGACCATGACCAGCGTTCATGGTTCGAAGATTTCGAAACGTCGGGAGTTCAAATCAAAATAAAAAACGCGATAAAATCTGTAAACTAGTTTCATTTAATATTGTCGATAAATTAGTCATTGTATTGATAACACTCCGGGTACATTTTATGTGGCTTACAAATTCACGGTATCACCCTACTAAGGCAGGTGCCGCATCTGTTGCTGTCGATATTATATTTGATAAAAGGATCGATTTTTTCAAGAAGTAATATTTCAAAACATTAAATATTGATTCGCCTTTAATGTAACTTATCAAAGAACAGCTCTTCTAGCCTTCAGCTGTGCTAATATTAAAATGCTTCATTGCCTGCTGTGTAGGTAAATGGGTCATTTGCATGAAATTACACAAGATGCTTTCAATTTCTCTCAATGACTTAAATTCATTTCATTAACTAATTTTATCAATATGCTTTTGAACTGTGTTGTTGCTTATTGCAATTCTTTTGTTGATCAGATGCAGGTTAGTGTAATACGGTTTTTAAAACTATTTCAACGGTAGACAATGTCCTTTTCTCCGACGGTATGGGATTTCCCGGATTTAGCTTTAAATAGCTAGACATTCTAAGACGCTGCCAAGCTATCATCATCTCTTTGTCGTTGAAGTGAACATTTAGTCCATTGTGGGTTTCTTCTGAACTTTTATTTGATCGTTTGACAGTATTTCAAATCATTATCTATTTTATCCGGTTGAAATCTTATCAAATGATCATCCAGCTTAGATGGTTACATTGTTGCTTAAAATTTTGTTGCATAAAACGCAATTACTTGTCTGAGAAAGAAGGAATGAAGGCAAATTTCAAATAATCAACACTAAATACTCACGTGTGATTTTCAGTTGTCTCTCTCAGGTATGAGAAGGGTATTTAACATTAACTATATTTATTCATATTGGGACATTTGTATCAATACATAAACAATTTCAAATTCTTTTAAAATTGGTAAGCCTTCAATTCTGCGTAAGTAGAAAATACGCGACATTTTTCATCGAACCGACAGCAGCGTAAGGCATTCGGTCTGTTGTTCCACAAAGGCGGCTTAAAATGTCAAATGTTCTAGGAATTTAATTCACGCCACGTCACGTCTTTGACAGCGTTTCTGTCAAATGAATGAAAAACACGCTTTCGATGAATTTTCCGTGTGCTTGTAGCTCGGTGCCACAATAAATAAGCTCTCGGGTCTTTGACTAACGGAATATATGGAGTTTACTAATTCCTATATGCGTTTTTATCTACGTTATGTTTTGAGATATTTTTTTATGTGAAAAGTTGCCAAACGAGCAGACGGTTCACCTGATGTTAATTGAATACCGCCGCCCATGGCCCTCTGCTACACTCGAGGGTTCCAAATGTCTTGACAACCTTTTGGAAATTGGTCTTCGGCCACCTCACTCACCAGGCGAAACGCGAAAGTATTATACTTCAACTTTACGCCGGTTTTCTGTGAGGTCGTGGTGCTTACCCGGACGAGCCTGCCCATTCGTGCAACAGCCGACGCTGCTGCGTGGCCCAGCCACCGTTAAAAATATACATATAAATGGTAGTTGTAAAATTAATATGGAATTGTATCACAATTAACGGTTAACCTCATAGCTCACTAAGTATAAATGCAAGATTGCGATTTTCGAAATCGTTTAAAAATATTTGGAAGAGGATTGAAATATATCTAACCACAATATGTCGGGTGGTTGCCTTACACCCTATGTACACAGGAGGCACTTGCCCAGCAGTGGAATATTCTTATATATTGCCCGTCTTGTAACGTAAAAAGGAACCGAATGCATCTGTAAACTACAATTTTCCACTTGGTTTAGGAGAGTTTTAATTTGAAATATTATTCAAATAGTAATGAATTGATTATTGTTCCAGATTTACCAGTCGTGACTTTGAATTTTGGTGCGAATATTGATGCCAACAAAGTAGTGGAGGGGTCCGATATTTATTTGGATTGTAGAGTTCGTGCTAACCCGTGGTACAGCAATGTTCATTTTACACACAATGTAAGTAAAATAGCTCATTTCTTAACTCCCCACGATACATAAGATTTATATTGAGGTTTGTATTGAGGTTTGTTAGTATAAAACGCCCTTATAAATCTAATCATAAACTGCTTAATGCTTCATATCATTTATTATACAGTATTACCGCTAAAGAATTCGTCAAGAAATGTTCTTTTTGTACAAGTATTTGTAATAAAACCAATCCCTCAATATCCCGTTAGTAGAACACGATGCTTAGACATGCGGGAATAAGCATTGGGTTACTCTAATTAATTATATTTTGTAAAGAAATTTCATAATCCATTCAGAAGCTGAATGGTTCAGATCCACTCGATATATATTAATGATGTACTTATATTAACGAACGTAAACCAGTTTTAACTTAAGATATAAATAATGTACAATTATCGAAAAAATAAATGAAATTGATGATTGTTTGAAAATCATGTATAAAAAATTATTTGAACCGACTCTTCGTCTCACGAATTTTTCTTCTATTCAATGTCAAAACAATTTATTTTTATCCCTTTAATTAATTTTTATGTTTGTGGGAACATTACCTCAATCACATTTTTTATCATCATCATCATCATCATCATATCAGCCGTAGGACGTCCACTATGAACGATAGTTGCCTCCCAAGGTATTGATTTATTCCATTCGACCGGTAGTAGCGGCCTGCATCCAACGCGTCCCTGCGATCTTGGCTAGGTCGTAATGGCGCTAAAGCCTTGTGTAAGATGAAGGGAGTTCCTTCCTACGCTGCGTTTGCCGTCACGTGGTCTCCACTCGAGAACCTTTTTGCCTCAACGGCCATCGGTTCATTTATAACAATTTAAAATAACAATTTCTAAAGTCCCATTTTGATTTGGTATTGCTTTTACGTTAGGTAATATACGATCGTTGTTCCAAGGTATTATTTATATATTATTTCCGTTAGTAAAGTTACTCGTAGCAAATTCAATATCAAAGATTGGCTAGATGTAATGGCGCTAAAGCCATTGCTTGTAAGATGAAGGTTGCTCTTTCTTCTTCTTCTTCTTCCCTTGGCGCTACAACTCTTTCTGGGTCTTGGCCTCCTCTACAACACCCCTCCAATTGTCTCGAAGCTTGGCTGTCCTTCTCTAGTTTGTGATCTTTCCCATCCTCCTCAAATCTTCCTCCACACAGCGTTGGATCGACTGTGTGGAAGGGTGTTCTTTAGTCCCTGAAATTGTAAGTTCAGTTAATGGTTAAACAGGGTGTCACGGTGAGAGCGGGTCCAGGGGTGTTGCTCGCCAACCAGAGCCTGGTGTTGCAGCACGTGTCCAGGCATGCGGCTGGCGCTTACATCTGTTCCGCCACGAACTCCCTGGGCGATGGACTGAGTACGCCGCTGATGTTGGATGTCAAGTGTAAGGAGCTATCATTTAACTAGACACGGTAGCGTGTCCAGCCAAGTTCAAGCTAACGGGTTGGCGAGCGGTAACGTGCGTAACGTTAGACGAACTATTTGGACCCGTTTTCGACTGCCTCTTGACTTGCCAAGTCAGTCCATAGGCTTAAATATAATACTAAATTATAAGAATTACTTAATTAGAAGAATTACTTTTAATTTTAGCATGCCAAATTGCCCGTACTATTCGATGTCTATTCGATGATTGATTTATGTCTATTCGAACGTTAATATACATTTTGTTCATACATACGAATTTGTTACATATATGAATTTGTTATCGTAACATGGATACTAACATAATATTGTCTTGAGCAGGGATGACCCGCCTATAAGTTTCCGGGCCGACCTGAATATATTAATTATAACTTTGTGACAGCTCTAGTGGAATCTGTTTATTCCGTTAGCTTAGGCTAGTATACACAGCACGCTATCCAACATAATACTCATTGTAATACGTAGCATACCAAGAAATGTTCTGTACGCCTCCTTAGAGTTCCAATGAAGGCTTTAGACGCGCGATTAGGCAAGTTGTCGTCTCGTCAGCACACAATCCAGTGAACGCGTGTTATTAATTCAAACTCAACGCAGACGCCCCGACGTGCAAATCGGAGCAGCCAATCAATATAAGGGCGGCGAGAGGGGAGGCCGTGGAGATTGTGTGCGCAGTGGACGCTAATCCCAAGGTGAGCAAATACCGCATACGGACGGCTGTTCTGGTTCGTCTGTTCGTTTCTCCGTGTGTTTGTTTTGTCCGTCCGTGGAGGATGAAATACGATGTAAGTCCGCAATCTTGTTACTCATGCATCCAATGTCGGGGGCAAACTGAGAGATCGAATATCGGGGCGTTGAGAACACATCGTGTTCCATTATTGTCCATTAGAGCACTAGTTAATATTTCATTTTTATATGTTATAGTGTCGTTTCCGGGACTTCGTACTTAAGGTCCAGGATGGACTTGCCTATTCGTCCAACAGTCTTCGCTGGCGGGGTCCTTCGAGTAAATACCCTACCTAACAGTGTTATAGAAGTGGAACTGTTATACTTTTGCATTTCATCTGGTAGTGAGGTAGCTGGGGGCCACTTTATTAAAAGATAGCAACGCAACTACTACTACGGGTGTTGCAAAAATACGTGCCGCGGTTATAACTTAACATCAGGTGAACCACTGGGTCGCTTGCCACATTCTCACATAATAAAAATATAGCCGTGGTGACTCAGTACATTCGATTGCTACAAGATAATGTTGAAAGCAACGAATGTGTCTCTTTATATTAATCACAGAGAAATTGAAGGAATTCATTTGTACTCGTAATTAAAATAATCATCTAACTATTCAGCGAGGAAATGCAGCTAGAGTTCTTGACACCATGTCACGTGGACTAGTTTTATTAGACAATATTTAATTTAGTTAGATTTAATGTTGTGAATATTGGATATAATTAAATTAAGCACAGATAAAAAACAATTTCGTTTATTTTACCGTCACTCACGAAATTTCTCTCTAACAGGCGTCCTTGACTTATCAGTGGTGGTTCAACAGTACAACGCACAGCAGACGCGACCTAAAGCCGCCATTACACTCACAAAGTATAATAGGTAAGATATTGACTCGTTACTTTCTGATGCTTTATCATGAAAAGTGCGAGTTGTCAGCGAATTCAGTTATGCCAGTTTTTAGTCAGATATACTAAAAAAATCTTGTGTGTAATTACGACGCACGTTAAGGGTCATATTTCTTTACCATAACATAAGAAAAATAAATAAAAATATCCCATGTGCCCAGTAGTCTTTGTTTGTAAAAAAACATTAAATGCAATTGATATAACGGTTTAAAATGACTTGGAATTTTAGGTAAATGTCAAATAGTTGTTATTGATTGCCATGGTAACAGCGCGAAGTTCGCTTTGTACCCAACTTCATCATGTCGCTTTTTGACTGTGAGGTGTGCGCGTATCGTGATTTTTTTTTTCAAAACGCGCCAATAGATGCATAGGTTCAAAAACTTAGTGTGATTGTTTTTTTTTAAAGACCATTCATCTCTTTTGCCAGGTACTTTTCTCTACGTTGCGAACTCTTCAGCTGATTATGGATGGGTTCAATGCTCTGGCTCGAATTCGGTGGGGGCCCAGACGCAGCCGTGCGTGTATCAGATCTTGCCGGCTGGTAAGTTGAAACATTATTGGTTTTATGCATTTTATGTCTTTTAATACCATTATAAGACTTTTAATCCCCCTCATATAAAGAAGACAGAAATGATTATTTCTTTTAAAATACTCCGTCGAAGAAACTCCGAGATAAAGTCCCACGAGAAGGCTAAAGTCTCAGCAAGTATTTATTAAGCAACAAGAAAAGTTGTTTTGACGATATTAAAATAATCCTATATGTAAATACAACTTATGATCGATAAGCCGTTCCAAATTTAATTTGAGTCCGTTCATCCATCATGGCGTGAAAACGATCTTACTTTTTGCAAATATGCCTGAGCGTACTTTATAAAACATATATACGATTTAGGTCATGTTGACACAAGCCTACTGAATGCTGGTCGTCCTAACGTAATAAAATAATATTTGTTAGAACTACTCAGTAATTTTTCGCCTTAATTTTTCACCTTTCATAAGTGTAAGGTGAAAAGTCTCTTATCATTGTGAAGTCTTTTTTTTTGTAAAGTGCTTAGGAGAGTCAATTGTTCACTTTTTTATTTGTTTGACTTTGTTAAATTCTTCATAATTCTGTTTATATCCGGACTGATATCAAGCCCGAGAAACTCGTTAAGCGTTATAACGATGATGTCGTAATCCAAACGCGAACAAGAGTCGAGTGTTGACGAATAGAAGAGCTCCATACGAAACGCAACTTTTCCGGAATAAAGCGCATTTCGACAGAAGCGTTGTTGACCTACATTGTCAGAGATCCATCGATCCGGTATAGATATGTATTTACTATCTCATCCAAGATATGATATTTCCAGTTCGTTTTCGGCGAATCATTGCGTAATGAAAGCTCTCTTAGAATGAGGGTTTTCTAAGAAGCTAAATCTATAAATAACGAAAAACTATAACGGAAATCCGATGGAAGAATTGATTGTATTTTACTTGCGTTGCGGCATACATTTTATATTTTTATGTGTCTGCATATTGTTTTATTTTCAGGATTCTGCAAAGTTAAAACTAATTTTATAAAGTAAGGTTTTGTCGTATATACTCGTATTGTCTTTCAGTTTTTTTACTTCCGCGGGAAGGAATCACGGAAAAGTAATAATAATAAACTTTTCACGTAGAAACAAACAAAAAAAAAACAATTTCTTTAGTTTCAATGTGTTATGGGCTGATTTAAAGCGCAGAAATTGGCACTCGTTCAATATCATAGTATTTTTTATTTATTAATCTTTATTGCCAACCTTGAGTAAAACAAGGTAACAAAGGGCGGACTTAATGCCCAAAGGCATTCTCTACCAGTCAACCCAGGATGTGGTGAGAGTTTATGGTAGGTGCAGCAAAAGATGCAAGATATTTAAGTATATATAAAGATGTATACTTGTATAAATAAATAACAATTAGCTTCTACTTTTAACTACAGTCCATATCTAGTATGTATCTTCGCAACTTAAAACCCAGCCTGATAATTTCATATTAAAATGAAACTTTTAAGAACACATACTAAATAGCTTTATTGGGCTAATTTAAAAATAAAAAGACTTAAGTATCACGTTTTGTATGGGGTTCTTTAATAGGCAAGCTCGAGTTTGACAGCGTATGACGGCCATCCCGATAAAGCTACAGCTGTAAATGAAGATATTTAATTAGTTTTATAAAATCAGTAAGCTTCACGTTTTAAAAACTCGTTGAAATTATTAAGATATTTTGTCAAAATCAGTGCTCCGTTCTTGTATCGTTTTGTCTAAGAATATTCTTGTCGTGAGGGCCAGTATGCGAGAATATTCCAGACAGTCTGTTCTACGTCGTGCTCATGAGCTCAGTGATTCTGCGGTATCGCCTTGGCTTTTACTAGAAAACTTTGGTTTTCATCTAAAGCTCTAATGCCAAGCGAGTGATTGGCTTTTAGAGCATATGGCGGCTGGCCCTGCTTTCGGTAAAAGTCATTCTTCGTGACGAGACTAGACTGGTAGAGTGGCTACGGAAATAAACGAAATTGCCGGATTTGGGGCGATGGAAATCCACCCGAGATTTTTCCGGCACCTCTATATTCGAAAAAAGTTCTTTGGTGTATATTTTAGCCATCTCCCTATATTCATTCGAATATGTTCTAGGAGCCAAACTGACTGTCAACGGTGGTCGATATCGAAAGGTGATAACAACATTTTTGTGACCTAAGATTTCGCAATCATTTGGTTTGGACAGGATGTGGCCATTTACCATACGTGCATGGGAAACGTTTAATGGTCGAGAAGTTCGAGGGTTTCATCATTTCTCGTGGTGGTGACAAAATTGGCCATGGAGATCACGTGACCGCTCGGCTACTCTTTGTGGTTAAAACATAAAATCTATGGTCTTTTTGTCTATGCAGACAAACCACAGACAATGTAGACCAGAAAGAAAAACGAACTGGTGGCCGTTTCGCCGATATAATATTCTATTCCATAAGTAATGGCATGAATATTCTTTAAAATAAAAAATGTCGCAATATCACTTACATTGGTTGTGAGATATAAGTTTACAGTTAGAGCGCTCTTAATGAAAAACCGAGTACATTATAGTTTGAGCTGGCATGCGACGCTATTCATACAACAGTAGATACACCAGATAGCGTAATTTAGTTCACGTAATATTTTTAAAAGGGGTCACGGCTCTCAGTAACGGAAAGCCGACCCAGAGGAAGACAAAACTTATTAGGCCAGTGTACCGCCACCAAAGTCTAGTTGTATATTACAATATATATAAAATCTTTCGATCTAAGTAATAATGAGTTACTACTCCTTGAATTTCTTACAGGCTAAAATCACCGTCTCATATGTTAGCAAGCTATCACGATTAAAGTTAAAATAAAAATTCAAATTCAAAAATCTCTTTTCAATATAGATCATTACACTAACTTATTGATTGTCATAAAACACTACTGCCGGTTCGGAAAAAATCCACTGACCACAGAAGAACCGGCGAAAGAAACTCAGCGAGACAGTTTTTCTTAACATAATTTAACAAAAAATAACAAAAATGTACACGATATATTAAATTCCACTTGAAAGCGTCTGGGGCTATTACTTCATTTCCAGAGTATGTTACGATGTAAATAATCACTAATACCTTACAAGTTTATTCAATTTAGCAACGTATTCATTTTGAACGTTTTCTGGGATTTTGTTGTAAAAGCGTCACATTGTCCAATAAAAGAATAAGTAAACTTATTCCACGCAATATAGATGAGGGTAGAATTAATTTATGTTTGTTCCTAGTATGTGCTTTATATAAAATCAAGCACATTACTAAATATTGAAAATTCACATTATTGAATTATTTTGATATTTGATATTGATATTGAGAAGCAAAAGTCAATATAATTTCTCTAAACAAATTTCTTTGTGATTTTTTGGGGCCCAGGTCCAAAGCTAAATAAACTTCAAACGGGAACTTGGAGCATTAACAAATGACTTGTCATCTCCTGTGACGATTTCTGGATTGGGGACTGTGAGAATGTCTTTTTGATCAGTTTCCTGTTTGTTGTAGAAAAACCGTCGTCAGTCAGAAACTGCGAAATAACGAATGTTACGTACGACTCTCTAGTAATCAACTGTTCGCCGGGCCATGACGGCGGAGTGCGCCAAATGTTTGTTCTCGAGGTGAGTGGCAGGTAGCATATAGCGAACGATTGAATGGAACGAATAAATAAAGAGTGATGAATATATAAAATCGAAGACTGATCTCTGTTTGTTATTTCTGAAAGTTATTTTTTGTCGGAATGCCATAGATTTTTTTATGTGAGTAGGTGGCTACCTGATGTTAGGTGGTAACCGTCGCCCATTGACATTTGCAACACCCGTTTTTCCATAATTCTTCACGAAATTTAATGGTTTTATCACCAATTTAAAGATTATGTTTGGCAGTATTGGTGAGTAGCCAATTAGAATAAAGATAACGTTTTCATAAAACGCTTTTTTTTAAAAATTTCTTAAGAATGTGTGATAATCTATTGACAATTTGTTTAAATGAAAAATAGCGAAGTAGACTAAATTTTACCGCCATTCTTCTAAATAAGACACATTCAATTGATATAAACTTATTTGAACACGATTATAAAACCATTCGGTGGCTGATTATGGTACTTTGAGAAAATTGTGCACTGGTCAACTAGTTAAAATCTAAAGCAATAATTAAAGCGATACTCTCGTTCATGTTTTCATTACTTAGTTTTTCATAACTTTACATTAAGACGAACGTCTTGGAAAGATTTTTTCGTCTTAGAAATGGCATAAATCTATAACAGCTTTACCAATTTGGACACTTAATAAGTCTATCAAGATATATAAGTACTTCATTGATGACTTTAAGTTGGATATTTTCACCATACATTTCCTATTTGACTTTCAAAAGCTCCCTGACATATCCCCGGTCAAAGATCCAATACTAATGAAAATAATATGGGAGCACATGGGAGCTAAATCTAACCCAGTGCGCAGAATTTTTAAACTTGCTCCATAAATGGTGGAGAGAAAAAATTCATCGAATTGAGAACCTCCCTTTTTGGAGTCGGTTAAAAAGAAGAAATGGCAGCTTCGTGGTGGATTCAAGTCCTCCGTTTCAGGTGGTCGATAAGGCGACTGGTGCCCTTTTACGCAATATCACGGCCGACGAACCGCGTTTCGATGTTCCCGGTCTATCTTCGAGTGGCGTTTTGTCCCTGGCAGTGAGGTCGTATAACAGCAAAGGCTCCAGCGAGGCCTTTACCCTCGTCTGCAATCTGCTCCAGTATCCTGAGAGACGGACGGGTTAGTGAGACATTCGTAAGATTAGTTAGTCCAAACGGTTCAGCGCATGGTAAGTGATCACCGATATCTATCGAGTTTAACAATGCGAAACGGGCTGCATGGAATTTGCTAGACCTTAAGATTGTAGGCCTGTGGTCACACCGAAAGAAGAGTAACGCACCACTGTCAAGCTGTAGTTCTGACCAAACTGGTCTATCCAAGCACTAGATACCAGGCTAATATTCTAAAAACTCGGGAAGCAAATGATAAAATCAGTGAGAATATATATTTTTTATCTGTATAGCATAATAATTAAGTAAAAATGATAATGTTTTAATTACATTAATGAAGTACTAGTTTATCCGGATTAGGGTAAACACGCAGATTAACGCACGGCAAACTCTATATGATTGTTAAAGCTGAAAAGTTAATGAATTGAGCTGTAAGCTAATTTTTTAAATAGTGACAGTTTTTTTACTTAACCTATATTTATGCGAACATAATCTGATATCACCAGAATTGACATGCATGCATATGTTCGTATATCTATCTACCCTTTCAGAGTGTGGTGATGTAAGTGATTATTCCTTGTATGTTTTCCGTAGCTCAAGTGCCCGTGAAGGTGGAATTGACGACCCTGCTAATAACAGTTTTGGCGGCGGTGTCAATAATTATGATAATGGCCGCCGTGTCAGCGGCGGTGTGTTACTGCAAATACTGTAATAACAGGGGAGGTGAGTTGTTATTAGGGTGCGGTTGTTATTTGAAATTATGATTATTCGGCGCTTGTTTATTATAATAATTGGTTTACCATTGTGGGTTATGTGAGTGCCGTCGGGCTTTGATTATATTCTTGAAGATAATAAGCGAGTAAAGTAATTAATAAGCCGATATTCATATTTCTATTTCTACTAGTAACTCGACGTATATTATTAGTAAGTTCTAATGCCAGCTAAATATTCCATTTAATTATCAAAAAATATTTTGTTTTTACTTCTAAACAAACGAGACAGATATGTGATCTTATTTAATAGTTAAGGTCATGTACTAATCCAGTATTCATAAGGTTACGAACCCTTGGAGTAATAGAACGTACAGCACGCATGTTTGTGTTTATATATATGTAGGTTTAAAAGTTGAATCATTGTTATAGATACAAACGAAAAAGCAAAGCGATCTCAGGAGGAGAGTTCAAATGTTTTGCTTACGGACGAGAAGAAAACTGACAGTGCTGATAGCTTAGGTAAGAATAAATTCTAGGAATAATATTAAATATAAAAGATACAAATAACACTAGTGCAAGTGACCTGGTGCTAAGTGATAACCACCGCACATGGACATCTGCGACATCCGTAGGGCTACAAATGCGTTGTCACCTTTTAATAAAATGGGTCCCGGCTTCACTCATTGGCCGAAACGCAGAAGTATTAAAACACTTCCACTTCCATTCGGTCTCCCATGAGGTCATGGTACTGCCACGGACGATCTGCCCATTTGTGCAACAGCAAGGACTGCTGTGGAGCCCTTTTTTAATGTGAAACGTTGCCAAGCGAGCAGACGGTTCACACGATGTTAAGTGAATACCGCCCATGGACATCTGGTACTCCCGAGGGTTGCAGATGCGTTGACAAACTTTTGAAAATTCGGCTCCGGCTACCTCCCCACCAGACGAAACGTGAAAGTATTTGTCATACTTCCACTTTACGCTGGTCTTCTGTGAGGTCGTGGTACTTACCCGGACGAGCCTGCCCATTCGTGCAACAGCAAAGACTGCAGTGGAGCCCTACCACCGATACTTCGAATACTTTTTGTGGCAGATTTGCCAAAGCTTGGCTATTTTCTACTTGGTGGTAACTGATGGTGTGGTTTAAAATGGTAAATGAAATAGCTCTGTGAAAGCCTACTTCCGTGAAGACATATGTTGTAATCTGTGTAAGAAGACCAGCGTAAAGTGGAAGTATGAGAAATACTTTCGCGTTTCGTCTGGTGAGTGATGTAGCCGGAGCCCAATTTTCAAAAAACGCATCTGTAACCCTCGGGTGTGGCAGATGTCCATGGGCGGCGGTATTCACTTAACATCAGGTGAACCGTCTGCTCGTTTGAAAACTTTTCGCATAAAAAAAAACTAAGATTGATTTGCTTAGATGCTTTATTTGCACTTATATCTAAAAATTGTGCTGTATCGATAGAAAATGTATATTACTCAAAATTGTCTGAACATTCATACCAGTCATTCATATAACTTAAATATGCAGTAAAATATTTGGCTTTTAAGATTTAGGAAAATAAAAAGCACAAAAATGTTTCATTAATGACTGCTAAACAAAAAAAAAAAAATAATGCTCATAAATTTCGCGTTTAAAAGCTTAAAAAGTTTTAAACGAAGAATATACACACATTTTGTATCAAATTAATGTAGGCTAACATGAAAACATTACATAGGGTAAAATTATTCCGCCAGCTAACTAGAACATAGTTCTCTCATTTCATTATGCGCCTGAAATTCCTCTCTTAAAATGCTCTAAAAAGTGTAATTAGGGAGCCTTTATGGATAACTTAAACTAACTGACCCCGTTGCTCACCTGTTAAGGCAAAAGTAAACAAAGATTATGTGAGCTAAGTTTAATCTTTGTTATTTATTAAGAGATAACATTTTTTTAAAAGCATTATTAAATACCGAAATATGAAATTAAAAACGCTGCACTATTTTCAAGTTATTGCGACAACATATACATTATTAAATGTTTTTAGATCCTTACCTTTGTTAGCAAAAGTAAGAAATAATTGGCCCCATCCTCCTCTAGCTTAAGTAATACTTGAGTGTTTCCTTAGGGTCACAAAGTTTGTTTTGAATTAATTAAAACTCGCAATTAAAATTAAAACTGAAATACGAATTGAGTTATAGTTCAAATATTTCATTAGATTATAAACGAAATGAATGTTTGAGGTTAAGTAAATGCCTCTAGTTAGATAGCTTGCAGATACATTTAGATATAAGCGCCAATAGATGTAATCGTGAGAAGCATTTAATGGATGGAATCTTTTCATTTTCTATTTTCACAATATTTTCGCTGTTATTTATTCAGTAAAGCATTTCCAGATAAAAACCCAGACATAATACCGTTGAACACGAAACTGAGTGATAGCTGCTCGAACAAATCCTCCGCCACCGACTACAGTTCCGTCAGGCCTCTGATATCCACCACCAACTTGGAGGAGTTCGAGATAAGCACCCGTTTCAACGCCCCGTACAATCACCCGATGAACAGTTCGCTCCAGTACGAGCATCCGTTGAAGTACCGTCTGCCCAGCTACCAGCCAGGCTTGGCCCCGATGGCGAACATTGGGCCGAACGTATACAGGCCGTACCACAATGGCTACGAGGACTGGCTGAGGTATAAGAACGCGTTGCCGCTGGACAGCAGTCATTTGGTAAGTTTGGGAATAAAATTTTAGCGGAAAGACAAATTTTTAAGTTGGTAGCTAATTGGCTAATGGTCTACCTCATTGAAACTGACAAATGCAGTGACTCCAGAATTAAATTATGTTTTATTATAAAACTAATATTATATTTTGTTGAAACTAAGGCAGGCCTCATATTATATTTATAATTTGTTCTCAATAAGGAGTTAAGGATATAAATCGATTCATACACCCTAATTTCCATATTTACAAAATGTACTGTTTATTCCAGCTACCCTTAGAGCAACTCAGACCACCAGAGGAGTACATTACCCCCCCACCTCCAGTACTCAGCGATCTCTACCGGACCCAATACCACATGGAGTCCAACTTGCAAGATTTGGAACGCGGCCGTATGGAGCACAATGCAACCCCTTGCCAAAGCCTTCGATCCGAAACGCCTGCGGTCAGGGTGCATTCTGAGAGCAATAGCGTGTACTTCAACAAGTTCGGTGCCGCGAGCAACTCTCTTCCGAGATTCAAAGGTATGGCATTAGGACATTTGGACCTGGTGTATACGGAAGCCTCACATAACATTGCTCTATGCGTTGAACTCTTTTTTGTTGTGTTGTCTCTATCTATTTAGCATAGATTGCAGAGTCCCACTGCAATATGCGCAAAACGTTCAATCTCGTAATGGTTGAAGGTCATGGGAGCTTCTTTTCAGAAACAATGCCGCTGATAACAAAAAAGCGCATGCGATCAGGCAGAACACAAAACTGTAATAGTTAATAACTGCTGCAAACCATCTGCAACAATTTTCGTTTACATAAAGTAACGATACAGCATAATATATATTTATGTCTCTGCTGGGCATAGGCCTCAGAGGTTATTAGGGCACAGTCCAACATTGGGACACAACCACAGATTTACGGTGTTCACACATTTTTTCGGAATATATATTTATTATTATTACTCCCAAAATATGCAGGTTACCGAACGCAAATTTCCTTCACTGATGAGTGATAAGTCACCACCTAAAATTACAATTGAAAATTTACATTGATGCCAGCACCGGGATTTGAACCCAGTTTGCTCGAGTATATTGAATTAAAAACGAGCGGCTCGATACTAAGCTATAAGTGCATTATCCAATGCTTCTTATGCATAGTATTGCCTGTCATCTGTATAAAGGTTTGGTACATAGAATCTGTGTACCATGTCTGTTATAAATCTTTTTCGATCATAATATTTTGTGAAACAAAATTTTTTAAACGTATAAGACTTATGTAATGCGAAGGAATTCTTATTCAAAAAATTTTTTTTAATCGCAGTTGTCGTCTTTTAAGACGAGCGTTACGCAAATGCCGCGGAATTATTTCAAAATTATTATTATTTTCAGCTATGTCTCCGAAACCCCGGCCAAAGGAAACCAAACTGGACGCCAATACAAAATCGACAGAGACTGAAACTGGATAGAGGAAGAAACGATTAGAATTTAATACATTATTAAATTATAAAGGCTGCCTGCAACGTTATGAGGAGTTGGCGCACGTGTACATATAAGATAGGCATAATAATGAACTGTTGAATGCAATTAAAAATCTTTGTTGTGTATAATATATATTAATTAAAACATGATTTTTTCTAAAATTGTTTTTATTTTGATTACTACAGGAAATTCAGTGCATAATATATAATAGGTTGACGTTGCACTCATAAATTGTATGCACCATTCAACGATAGAAATCTATACTAATACAGCGTGTCGTTACAACCGCAATAGTAAATGAATCGTTACAATCGCGACAATAAATGAACACATATAAAGGATAACTTTTTAAAATTGTATTGTTGTGATGTTTAAAGAATGTAACATTTACATTCTTTAAACATCAATATTTTCCGAGTTATTAATTTTCCAAAACAAACAATTTAAGAACACCCTTACGTATAAAACTGTAACGTAAATTTCATTTGTAAGGGTCACAAAGCATATGAATGAGTTGAATGGATTTAAAAGTGATAAAACATACTGTTAGAAGGAGAAGTTTGTAATGCGACGTTGTGGCAACGAATGAAAACGTCTCTGAATGTAAGAATCAGTTAGTTGTATAGGATGTTACAAATTTTGTTTCTTTTTTATTTAATTTGTTTGAATTTCTTTTAATTATATATTTTTTTAACGTTTTATATTTTTTTATGATTATTGGCAAGTAGCGTTAGACGTGTGCTCATTTATTGTCGCGGTGGTAACGACACGTTGTATAAGCTGATTGGGCAAATGTTTATTTTGCCGTATAAATTATTTCTAGGAAGTTAGTAGGGTCGAAAAATGTGTGGTAAACCCTTATCAGGTAGGGTTTTGAAAAATATTATGACCGATTCTCAGACATACCAAATATTTACGGTGGCCACGTAGCAGCCTCGACTGTTGCACGAATGGGCAGGCTCGTCCGGGTAAGTACCACGACCTCACAGAAGACCAGCGTAAAGTGGAAGTATAATACTTTCGCGTTTCGTCTGGTGAGTAAGGTGGCCGAAACCCAATTTTCAAAAGGTTGTTAACGCATCTGCATCCCTCGGGTGTAGCAGATGTCCATGGGCGGCGGTATTCACGTAGCATCAGGTAAACCGTCTGCTCGCTTGGCAAGTTTTCATATAAAAAAATATGTACATATAAAATTTCATAAAAATCAATTGAGATGTTTCGGAGGAGAATTGACGCACTTCAATTTTAGGTATTGAGTCGCACTAGTACATGTGTACGGCTCTCATATGCAGCATCAAGCGAAAAGCGGCGATTTGAGCAAACTGACACAATTAATTGATTTTATTACATTTTTAGCAATCTATTTTTTTAAGCTTACATTGATTTGTTTTCAACGTGAAATGTTCTCAAAAGTTGTCTCAAGTCTCATTTGTTGAATTGCATTGGACAGTGATTGGTTGGTAAGATAGTAGTACTTCTTCTTCTTCTTTGCGTGTCGATGACAAATTAGATTTTCCGGCCCAGAACTTGGCCACTTCGACTGCACAGTTCGTGGCGTCCATCAAATCCTACTGCGAACAGGTGGAAGGGCAGGCAGGACAGGCCACCAGATGAGCCATGGACTGCACCGCTCCACACACACAATCTAGTTCTTGGCTCCCCGAGAGTCCCCATCTAACATATTTTCTTTAGATAGTACTTGCAAAATATCTAGTTATATGTTGCGCGACGTTATTGAAAACATAATCACAAACAAGCTTATTTTTTATTCGTTTTACTTAGTATTATATAAGCGTATCATAGGTCACGTATGTTTAGTATTTAATTCATAGCAATATACAAAAAAAACCTTTCATAAATTCCTTAATAATATTAGAATCGGCAAGTGTGCAGATTTGTTTCGTGTCACTTATATTATTAACTATCAATTATAATAAAACTTTCTGCAAGTATTCTTAAACTTCTGGCCAGCAGACCGGTTCTACTCGTCTATTAGTTCCAGTAGCAGTTTTCGAAGAACACCTTCAAGTCACTCCATGAAGTCTGATTTTAAGGTCCCTACATATTAAACACATATATAATGATATACTCGTCTATCAGTTCTAAATATAAGTTCTCGAAGTAGTAGGACCAATGTAGCTGTGGTAGGGCTAAGTGGCCGGGGCCCATTTTTTTAAAAGTGAAAACGCATCTGCAACCCTACGGGTGTTGAAAATGTCCATGGGCGGCGGTTATCACTTAGCATCAGGTGAACCGCTAGCTTGCTTGTCACCTTGTCTCATAGTGAAAAGTACACTACGAAGTAACTCTATCAAGCTTAACATAACTAACGCGACGAGCCCAAACACGGCACACCTTGTATCTTGTATCTTGTATTAACTGATGTTTTTGCTTTCAGTCCCGAGACTATTAAAGCTTCATCGGACGCAGAACCGGTGGGCTAGCCAGAACCCACGGGTTTGGACCCTCCGCTATGGGTAGGGTCGCGCATGTGCTCATGCGTGCGTTTAACTACTATGGTGTGTCATCTAAGGGCCGTCGAGGTCGCCGGTTCGGACCGAGACACGGCGGCCGTCGACTGTGCATTTAGCTAATCGGTGGCTGGGAGCGGTGAGAACCGCCCCGGAACGCGGGTGTACCTTGTGTACGCGTTGTGTGGGTCTCGCCGTGCTCGGAGGCGAGGGCGAACTGGTGTGATTGTTGTTACACTAACTGTGGGTGTAGTGTTATCCGGTGGGACCCCGGCGGTGGGTCCATCGTGTCTAAGTCCTCTTCGTCGACCGGGTCGATGAGGACGTTTCGCGGGCGACGCTTGTTTACGTTCGCGTTAGTGTCCGGTAGGTAGTTTGCTGCGCTTACCACCAGAGGGTTGGGATGATGCTGGGCTCTATCGAAGAACCGTTTTGTCAAATCTTTAAAATGTGCGCGAATCGTCGGGAGTCTGCAATCGCTGTGCAGGTCGACGTTGCACGGCACACCTAGCTCTACTCGTCTATTAGTTCAATTAACAGTCATCGAAGTACACCTAAAGGTACTTCATCAAGTCTGAAATGAAATAAGAATTTTTAATCCCTACTTGATTCTATCAAAAATATAAGAAACTGTGAAATACATTTTAGGTTGTCCATAGTCCGTACAAAATGTGTGAAGTATAAAAATTTGCTACGTCAAATATTTTATATTCGTACAGCGATCTTTATCAACACGAGCTTCTGATGACAAGCGAAAGTGCTCACTCACGATGGTGGCCGAGTGCAGACTACTATCTCATTACAAATTTTCGCGCTGACTCACCTGACGCGCTAACGTGTCGGTCTAGGAATCTAGAAGTATATAAAATGAAAGCGATAGAAATTATACAATCAAGTTTAACGGCTTACTCGGCTTCCACTTCCGTCAAAACAAAAATAATCCAAAATTTCGATTACGCACAGCCCCGCGCTGTAAAGGATTTAGAATGTTCTTCATTTCACAAGCATTAGTTAATTGCTTACCCATAAAATAAAACAATAGTTTGGAAAACACTCTCATTACACTAGCTCACGACTATATTTGCTTTTTACTCCCATAACCGGACGTAAATGCGCCATTATCCGAACCGTGCAATTAATTTAACGGTCCGTTAGCAACCGGTAAGCTGTGACCCGCAAATTGTCATTTACGTAAATGCTGCGTGCCGATATAAATTGTCTTGGTCATAGATTAAATTAATACGAGGGGGTTTAATGAGCGAATTAGTACATGACAATGATCAACTCGTGTCTATTACCGACGTCATCAATAGGTTGGTCACGCATGAACGCACACAATAATAGAACCTGTTTGATAGGTTGGTAGCAAAACACTAATCAAGTGTCGGATTGTCATGATTCTAGACTTGTAGCGGTGTTAGTATGCATATTTATAACGCCTGGGAAAGGTCACAAGATGCAATAGGTGTCTTTTGCGACCTTTCAAAGGCTTTCGACTGTATAGACCACGAAACCCTCCTTCAAAAGTTAGATTATTATGGCATTCGTGACATCGCCCTCAATCTCATTGCCTCTTACCTTAATAATAGAATTCAAAAAGTATCTATAAATGATGTAAATTCCACAGGGTCCCCCATGAAAATGGGTGTCCCACAAGGATCAATCTTGGGTCCATTATTATTCTTAGTGTATATAAATGATCTCCCCTTTTATGCCAGTGAGTTATGTGATGTTGTACTGTTTGCTGACGACACATCGCTCATTTTTAAGGTTGACCGAAACGTGTCGGATTATGACGACGTGAATAGTGCACTTTCGCGTATCCTCCACTGGTTTACCGTTAATAATATGGTGTTAAATGCTAAAAAAAAACTAAATGCCTTCTTTTTACCCTTCCCAGCGTAAGAAGGCGAAGTTTTAGCTTAACATTAAATAGCGTAACCCTTAATCCTGTTGAGTCCGCTGTATTCTTGGGAATTACAGTGGATTCAAAGCTCCAATCGAGTCCCCATCTATCATCTCTTGGGAACAGGTTAAGTTCCGCTGTTTTTGCAATTAGGAAGGTTAGGCAGCTATCAGACATCGACACTGCCAGACTTGTTTATTTCAGTTATTTCCACAGCATCTTGTCTTACGGCATTTTGTTGTGGGGTAGTGCATCTGATATAAATTCTATATTTATTCTTCAAAAAAGAGCTGTCCGAGCAATCTATAAAATCGGAGCCCGGAATACACTCAGAGACCTTTTTAAAGAGATTAATATACTCACTGTTACGTCTCAATATATTTATTGTAATATTTTGTATGTTAAAAATAATATTAATAGTTATCTAAAGAATAGTGACAGACATAAACTAAATACTAGAAATAAGGACAAACTAACTACGCCATTGTTTCGTTTACAAAAAAAGTAAACAGGTCGTTCATGGGGCAAGGTGTGCGCATGTATAATAAAATCCCAAAGTCGATATTAAGTCTGCCACTTGATGAATTTAAACGAAAAATTAAAAGTA